TTAGGAAAGTTTCATTTGAATACCACTTATTTAACACCTACTTGGTGCCAAGCATGTTGTGTGGTACTTTATATATATTATCTCTATTCCTCATGATAACATCAAAAAATTATTTGTAAAGATCATTTCCTTTAAGAGGAAGAAACTGAGATAAGTTGCTGCTGTCTGGGATACATGGTTCTCACCCAAGCACAGTAAATTGGGGATATAGAAATATTTCTAGGGAATGGGATTTTAAATATTGTAGTTTAATAGTTACCTAGGGTTGGGGTTGGGGGAGGGAGTGCTTGTTAAAAAGGCAGATTCCTGGGGCCCACCTACAAGGGTCCTGGGTTGGGTGGGGCCCAGAAAAATGCAATTTTAACAAACTGCCCATGTCATTTTAATGCAGTTGGTTCTTTGGAGAACACTTGGATAAATATCAGTCTCTTAATTTGACTCATTTATTCTATACCCAAGCTTTAAGCTGTGGTAGGAGGAGGATGATTCAGGGGCAGGCTAGAATCTGTAGGCCAAAATTGAATTTGCCCAAGTAAGCAACACTCCCCTCGCTCTTAGCTCTTCATCATCACCTCAGGATGCTTCCCCTCTGGTAACACCTTCATACACCACTTGCGATTATTGATGTCCTTAGCTTACCTTTGTTGATACAGGCTCAAAATGACTGTATCAGCAGCAAATAGATGAGAAGGAGCTGATATGGGACCCTTACAGAGTAACTCTAGCCAGGGCCCTGCAAAACTGTCACAAGCTGTAATCTCTTGCAACCTCAATTTTATTGACTATAAGTGAGTATGACATTTGTCTTAGAAAGTTATTGTCTAGCACATGGTAGGCATTTGTAAATGGCAGCTATTGTTATTTATTTAATTTGGGTGAGATGTCAAACATGATAACATACATAAAAGCACTATGTAAACCCCTCACACTAGGAAATCCTTCCCTCCAGCATAATCTTTTGCAGAATGTGATGAAAATTATGGACCAGTGCTGTCCAATGAAAATATAATTTTAGTCACGTAGGTAATTTTAAATTTTTTAGTATTCACATAGAAAATAGGTGAAAGTAATTTAATAATATACTTAACCAACTATACAAATCTTATCATTTCAACATGTAATCAAAATAAAATTATTAATGAGGTATTTTTTTTATACTGAGTCTTCAAAATCTAGTGTGCATTTTTACACTTCCATCATATGTCAATTAGGGCACTAAATTTCAGTGGTAACGTGAAATGTAGTCCTACCGAGGCAATCATGTCACGTTTAACAGACATAGGTTACCCTGCTTCTGTTTTAAAATTCAAATTAATGGAACTTACATAAAACAAAAAATTCAGTGCCTCAGCTGCAGCAGCCACATTTCAAATGTTCAATAGCCACATGTGACTAGTGGCTATCGTTTTGGACAGAGCAGTTTTGGACCTTCTCTAGAATTTTGTTTGTCCTTCTAAGGAATTCACAGACCCCATGACGTTGATCCTTGCTTTACCTGTGTCTTGGTTAAGAATTGTCCTTTTCACATTTTATAAGCCAACTCATAGTTTAAAAAAGTCAACAAGTTACCTTCTACGTGTTCAATAAATATTATTCAGGTTTACTTATGAATAAGCTACTTGGGCTAAATCAAGCAACTTTATAGAAACTGGATTATTAAAACTGTATTGAAAGTGGACGATGATCGATTTGGATTTAGAACTATAAGCTGAGGATATATTGGTTGAACTTGCGTCAGTCTTCTGGTGTGATCACAGGATTTAACTTCGAGATATTAAAGCGACTGATTTTCACCTTCCTGACAAGCAAACTTGAGGGGTTGCGGTTCTCGGGGCATATAGAAGCGCTCTCAAAAAAACCCAAACCGGCAGTAGCCGCTGAACTTGCACAGATAGGGATTTATCCAAAGCCCCCTTCTATTTTTAGCCAGAGCAACTGCGGGCCAATTCCGTTTCTGGAGAGAGCGACGCATCCAGTGCAACAGAAACTCGCGGAGCAGACCCTGGCCAGACAATTGCTGGAAAGCCCGTAAGGCTCCTCTCAGCAAAACTCGGGGAGACGCAGCGCAACTGTCTTTCCGGGGAGGCTGCGGCTCGCCCCG